GCAAGGTTAGGATGTGGGATATGGGTTTGATTTTTTAAAGATTTATCTTATTAGGAAGCTCATCCATAATATTATTTCCCTGAGGGATATGATGATATAATCAAAGAATGAAAGCAAAACAGTTGCAAACAGAACTTCTGAATTCTTTTCTGCCTCTTCTTTTTACTTATGTGGACATGACATATAACAGCTCTGGGCCGTAGTTTACGCTTTTCTGTAACAGTTACCCAACTGTTGTGAGGGTTACTAATTGCAAAATACTTTCAGATACATGACATATATTTCACAAATTTGGCATGAAAATCTACCAGACCTGTGGGTTGGCAGGTAAATCCATCATCTGCTGAGTTTGTTGAGATGGCTAGAATCTACATATCTTTTACATAAGAATTCAGGTGAACTTCACTAAAATGGATACCGGTATATAATTAATGAGTAAACCTACATCTTTTAATATAGTTGTAAGAATAAAAATAAAATAGAGGATCTATTCTAATGTCATAAACTTTCATTTCAACAAACTGGATATGGTAGTGTGAACTTCACTACATAAGGTGCATAGATATTGTGTTGGTACTCTGCATGGAATGAACAAAATGAATAATGCCCAAGCTATAAGGGGACTGCCATATGTCTAATGATTATGCCAAAGCCTGAAATACAATTGGGAATAATGTGGGAACATAATAAAAAAGTGAAGGGTAGAATGTACATCATGTCCAATTAAGTAAAACTATCAAGATGTCAGCAAGGAAAAATGTATTACATTGCCTGTTTCTTCACTATTCAATGGTCTATTAGATATTTGTGACAATACTACAGTTTGTAATATGTAAGCTAGAGTTACTCTAAAATTAATGTAACCAGTACCTCTCTGCAAAAATCCCAATATGCCCCAATTATGTGATTAAATCTTTAACAAATAGCATCTATTTGCTTTCTGTCATGGAGGGAAGGATCATACATGGGGACATTATTTGAGTGGATATCTCAGTCAACTAGGAGATTTTTAAAAATAGCTGCTGCAACTAATCTGATTCAGATGCAATACAAAAGAACTAGCAAATATGTAAGAGAAATCTGCAACAGAAAATAAGAAATATTATGCTTAAAAAAGAGGTGTATGCGTAATGAAATGTTACCCCTCACAAGATAGACTCCACCAGAAACAATACAAAAAATTCCCAGGAATAATTTAAAACACATGACCATATTCTGACACTGAATTTTATGCAGAACTTCCCATTGCCCGTTGAATTTACCAGTCATGTAATTAGTAAAACATGATCTGATTCTGTTAGATTAACTACATTATCTGCAGTAGTTTCATAACTTTATAAACATCACTTTAACTGGAGAGATTTTTAAAATATATCATTTACCTTTCATAAATGTTCATTTGTCACTTTGGGTTTTTTTGACCAAAGATGTGTATTTAAAGAAGATATTTCTCTTCACAATTTACTTTCTCCTACTCAGGTCTGAAGTGAAGTTATGCAGCTGAAATTGTGATATTGTATTTACAGTACTTCTAAAGTAACAGACTGAGATTCTCATAAACGTAAATATATGGTTTTGTTATGTTATCAACAAAACAGAGAATGAGAATGGTAAAGATTACAATTTTGATTCTGCAATTCTCACTTAGGCATGAATGTTACTGAAGTCATGAGTCTTGTCTGCATTAAGGCCTGAGTAAAGATTGCAGGATTAGGTCCTTAGCTGATAGTTTAGGGGAATATAGCTTTTTCTTGTAACATAGAATGTTTTTTGACACTTCCCCAGGTTTGAAAGTCACTTTTCAGCATTGTAGAGAAAGCATTTCAAAGAATGAGACTATATAATGTATTTGTCTTACTATTTGAATTAGCTGTGAGATAAAATAGCCTATATGATGTGTTTGTTATAGCAAATAACCTAGAAGATTCAGAGTTGAACTGACCTTGAATAACATGCACACTCAAAATTAAAGAATATTAAGCACTTAATTTTATAAAACTAACAGCTAGTTAATTGGAAGCAATGATGGGTGCACAATGTATTTTAGGACTGTAAAGTTAATGAGTTACTTTTATTGTAGTGTACAATTTGAGGTAGAAATAAGTCCTAGAAATGTATGTGCTATGTTGAAGCAATGTGCTGTTCCTTATATCTCAAATTCATTGGAGGGCTAAATTCTATATAACTTTCGAAGTTTCATTTTTTTTATGTTTGTCACTGATTCCAGATTTTAAGATTTGGATAGTGATTTTTTTTGACAGCGGGGTAAAATATATGAACTGCATCAAGCCTGCAGGGTGGGGTTTTTCTTTTTTGAGGGGGGGGACTTGTTTGTTTTTGTATTGTTTTAGCAGAAATCCCCAGTGACATCGTGGCCCTGTTCTACCACAGCCCTAGGCCCTGATCTGCTGACAATTAAGTCAATAGCAAAGCTTTATGTACTTCACTAGTTTTGTCTTTAGAAACCAACCATATTACTGTGAGATTGATCCTACACCACTAAGGTCAATGGGAGTTTTGCATTGCCTTCATTGGAAGAAAGATCAGGCCCCAAGTTTATTACACCAATGAAATAATGTCTCACACCCACTCAGAGTAATATATCTGGTTAGTACCACAAATATAACAATAGCAGCTAACTAAAGACCAAATTATAAAAAGGTGAACTTGTATACATGAACATTTACAAATATCATGGCTTTGGATTAGCTAGATACAGATCAAATCCATGCTGTAATTCAATTGGAATAGAGTTTTCCATAACTGTCTAGTTTAGAAACCGCCCCCACTGCTGCATCAGTGACCATCAGGCTATTTATATGAGCCTTGTTTAGTATAATGGGATAAAGGGATTACATACTCAGACTAAACTCCTGCTGTAAAACAAGAAATATCTTGGTTAACCTCACATTCATGCTCCATTTTGGTCTTTCCATTTATTTAGCAACAAAAGGCCAAAGTCCATTATATTATTGCTTAAAAGGAACTTTAACTCTGTCAAAGTATATTTCCTTTCCCTCCATTCTATCAATAGCAATTCTTTCCATCCTTGTCCATTTCTTTGTAAACAGAGTTTAATTGTATGGAACTGCATGATGTTTTAAAATTGGCTATGTCCCTGTTTTGGGAAACAAGTTCCTATTTAAACCAGTGCTAAATTTGAGGCTCTATCATGTTGAGTTAATTGTACTAAGTAAGAATGAGAAGATGCCGTTTTATACCACAAAATCTTTTGAAATTTAAAATCACTCCATAATTAATAGTGAATATTTTACATGAGTGAGAACCTCTGCATTTGGACCCTCTAAGTCTACTATTTTTCCTATGACTGTCACTTACTTTTTTACAATATAAATAACATGCCCTTAAATAGCATAAGCAGCATAAAGTTAAATGTAAAGTGCATATTTAGCAATAGAATTTCATTCAGTAAATTAAAATATTTCTTTCATATATGATATTGTGTAGATACGAAATAATCTATAACCAATAACTCATATCCCTTTATTAAGTTAATACTTTGAGCCTGAAATTATTGCTGCAGAAATTGTAAGGCCCATATACATGAACATATTTTCCTATAGCTGTAGTGTGCAGTTTACGATAATTACAAATTGGACAAGTGTTTCAGATGTTAAAGTTCAGTAGAGTACTTTTGAATTGGGTTATTTTCATAGCTCAGATCCTAATGAATACATAACACCATTTACATGTACTATCATTAAACATTTCAAATATTTATAAAACTGCTAACTCCCATATTTGATTAAAAGCTATCTGGTAAACCATATCTCTATTTAGAATTAAGATTGTGCCATAACTTCTGTTACAATACAGTACTCATCTGGCAGGTCTATTTGAGTCTGAAATTTGACATGGATGTTGAACCTAAAAAAAGTTGACCAATTTGTTAAAAGAATCTTCAACTATTTTATGGATAATTAATAGAGAAAGTTTATGTTTGTATCCACTAAAGAACTCTTAGTATAGCTGTCCCTGTTTTTAAAAGTTAAATTTTGCAAGTGATTAGTCAAAGATCATGATCAGTTTATTTTTTTTATAATTGCTTAATATTTTTATTAGCTCACTGGCTAATGTTATTATAGTAACTACTTTTAAAAGACATTTTGGCAACATTATGTGCCCAAATAGATACATATGACTGATAATGCCTCAAAGAAAGCTGTACTAGTTATTGGTAAAAAAAATTTTAACCTTGTAAATGTGTTTAAAAAATCTCTAGATTTTCACTTAAGGAACTGAGTGAGACATGATGAACAAGAGAGGGAGCATTGCATATACCCTGCCCCCAAAATAGTGCAAGGATTAAACAAAAGGAAAATTAAAATATGAAAAGTATTTTAATTGTGCTGTGACAGAGCCCAACAAAAGGCAGGAAATACCTAGTTAAGCTGAAGCACAATATCATGCTGCCATGCATTTCTTTTCATATAAGAAGGGTGTATTAACTGTGACAATTCCCACCTTCACGCAGATTCAGAATATAGTTTTTACTATCAGCTCTGTGAAGATTTAATTATTTTTATCCTTTGTTCCCCGTTGATGCCCATGGCTTGGCTTTGGATTTACCGGAACCAATAAATGTAACATCAGCCCAAGAGTCCACATCTTAAGACCATTTACCAAGTACAATTCTTAACTGTTATTCCTAAAGCAATAGTAAATTCACACTCTGTTGTTAAAGTTTAAACATTGCTAAACTTTGGAGTGCATTAAATGGAGTGCACTCAACAGAAGTTAAGTCTTCTATTCCTGTAGATCACAATGCATTCCATAGGGGAGACTGAAAACTTTTGAGCATGAAATGTGGGGAACAGATTGTGGCTTAACTTGCTATTTCAACAGTCGGGTGTTTACCAAATAAATGTGGCTGATGCGTTTGCTCAGACTAAATAAACGATAAAACAGTTCTTCAAACTGCGGCGTTTTGTAAAGCCTTCAGAAGGAAGAATAGATCAAATGAAACCGACTCAGTGGGATCTTCTCAATATGACCCCAGTGTTAATGTATTTATTTTCACGCTGCACTTGCAGGTCGCTTTACAGAAACATCTCATGCTGGACCCTCCCGTGGAGCCACGGACAAGAAAAACACTTTTATTCAAACAAAGCTATTAAATAACCTGTACACAAAAGTTCAGTCACTTCCCCGGAAAGAAATGAAGGCCCAGGTGTCCAGACTAACGCTGTTGCTTCTATTTACTGTCTCAGAGGAGCCCATGGTAAGAAACTCCGTTTACATCGCGGGGAGGAGGGAGTGATTCTGTGGCCCAGCTTGCGTCCAGAGCTTTCCCAGGAAGGGAGCGGGACAGTCCTGGAATCAGCTGGACTTCACTCCCACGAAGCAGTAGCCAGAAAGATCCTGATGCCAGTGGCAAGGCGTGAAGGAGTCACGTGTTTCCCGCAGCTTTGCCCTGAGCCAGAGAAGGGGATTTGTCCAAGGGCTCCTTCAGGACAATGGGGCGGACATAGGACAATGCCTCCCGGAGCCCTGTAAACCTCCAGGGCAGGGCTCCAATCCCAGACCCCCACCCGAGCCGGGCGCAGGTCCTGCATCTTCCTCCTAGGGCCGAACCCCTGGAGCACCTCCTGAGAGAAGGCTGCAAAGCCCACAGCCCCCCTGCAGGACGGATTTGTCCAAGGGCTCCTTCAGGACAATGGGGCGGACATAGGACAATGCCTCCCGGAGCCCTGTAAACCTCCAGGGCAGGGCTCCAATCCCAGACCCCCACCCGAGCCGGGCGCAGGTCCTGCATCTTCCTCCTAGGGCCGAACCCCTGGAGCACCTCCTGAGAGAAGGCTGCAAAGCCCACAGCCCCCCTGCAGGACTCCAGGGCCCGCGACTCCTGGCCCCGGGTGCGACGGTCGCTCAGACAGGGCGGTAGGTCCCGAATCTCCACGGCGGGGCGGAGCGGCGCCCCGGGTCACAGGCCCCGCGCGTCCTCCCGCTTCACGCCGTCCCCCGCGGCTTTGAGCTTCTTGTTCTGATGGGTCTTCACGTGCTTGGCCAGGTGGTCGCTGCGCATGAAGCGCTTGTTGCACACGGGGCAAGCGAAGCGCTTCTCGCCCGTGTGAGTCCGCAGGTGCCGCTGCAGCTCGTCCGAGCGCGTGAAGCTCTTTCCACAGAAGAGCCAGTTGCAGACAAAGGGCCGCTCGCCCGTGTGCCAGCGCAGATGCGCCTTCAGGTGCGAGGTCTTGCCGTAGACCTTGCCGCAGCCCGGGATGTGGCAGATGTGCTGCTTCTTCCGGCCCGGCTCCGCCTCCGGGGCGCTGCCCGTCGCCGCCTGGCAATTGGGGCAGCGGCAGGGGGCGGCGGGGGGGGGGGGCGGGCGCCGGC